TTCGGCTATCATCGGGGATAACATACAGTAAAGCCTGTTACACGAAACGCTTATTAAAAAAACGCGGCAGAAAATATGAGCACAGTACCTTAGGGGGGCCCTGAACACCTTTTAAAATTAACCATGAAATGAGTCCACTGGAAGACCTTATTGCTTCACAATTCAACGCCGCCAAAATTTTAACAATCCTTCCAATACCAGCGGACACGGTTACAAAGATTTGTCGCACGCTGCAATAGCATTCTCTCTTCTCTCGTCCCGACGAAAACGCTGGAAGCTAAGCAGGGAAGTATTGCATGGGGAAAGAAAATATGTCACGTACGCATCTTGACCTTGAGCACTTTTTCTTTTTCCTTCTTCAAATACGCAGATTTTTCAGTTCGCTCGCGTGTGCACCAGGGGCGGCGCCAGAGGGGGGCAAGGGTGGGCTGGAGCCCCCCCAAAATTCTCGCCTGCCCCCCCTATGCCCACCCAAGTGCCCGGAAGCATATATTGAAAACCTAGTAGGAGCAGAGCTAGCTTGCCCCCCCCGGAGGAACTCACTTTTCGTGGTTGCCCCCCCCCCCCCCAGTAAAAACATCCTGGCGCCGCCCCTGGTGTGCACGCGTGGACAAGACACGACCTCCCGTGGGCATCACTGCAACGACCGAACGCGCCATATTCAAATCAGCCAATCGCTGATCGATTGCCTTCTACGAGTGATTTCTGAGCGTCTTCCGTCATATGTAGAGGGAAGACAAACCAATTGTTAGTAGACTTTGATAATTTATTGTGAATTCCAGGCCACGTGCTGCGCTATAACATTTTGCTCGCGTGTTCTCGGGAGCCTCTGCTACCGCTCGGCAGCATTTTCTGACCATGCTCAAAAAGTGTTGCAGGGGCCCTTTAATGCAGTCAACAGCCAGTAAACCGTACAGAACGGCCGGCAACGCCACGCAAAACGATGGCGTCGCCGATATGCCAAGGCCATCGGGGAAATTATACGGGAACACACGGGGGCCATGTTCCTTTGTGGCAGTACACAACCAGTATTGCCAAATAAAACGAGGCCAACGAGGCTTCCGCGATTGCAGATACGCAATCGTGAAAAACGTGAAGGACATGTTACAGCACGAGTACCAATGGCACTGGTTGCACGCAGCACACCGTGTTAACCGTCTGCTGCGTGCGTACCCGAATAGTTGATCATGTTGTGGTGCTCTGAGCATTCCCTCCCCCGTCCATACAACAAGTCAACTTTGAACAAAATCATCACCATTTTGTATTTATTTTTATTTCAATGCACTCTTTTGGCCACGTGACGTGCGTGACGCCGTGGACAGGCATACAGACGGCACCGGCTCGACGTAGAGCAGCTCTACTGCTGAAAGAGAAGCTATGCAACCCGCATGCCAACTCGTGTCAAACCATCGCATATGACTGCAGTCTTTCGGCGCGACAGAGGTTTGTACAGCCACCTGACTACCGACGAGACGAGGACGTCACATCGTTTTCATTGCACGCTGATACTCGCCAACATTTACGCATGTCACACCACGGAAAAGGGTATAAGACCTGTTGGTGCGCAAGTGATTATTTTCAACTCCCCAAAGTTGCCGGTATCCCATTGACACGCACTGAATCCACGTCGTTAGGTGACGCTGAAGCGGCGTGGACGTCCGCCAGGCAACCTGTCCGCCCTGACGTCTCTTGTTGAGGCGGGCGGCACGCAGAGGGCGCAGCTGCACGCGGGATGGATAGGAACTTTTTAGGGATGGATGCATGCTATAATGCAGAACGTGGCACCGCTGCTCAACGGGCAGCTGGCTGGCCTGACCTTCAGCGGCTGGGAGATTGCCGACGAGCAGGTGCACAGGCTCTGCTTCAAACGCCTCAACGTGGCCATGGGATGATCATTCTATTCCATTCCTTCCGGAGACGTAATGGAATGCTCACTCCTGCAATGTAAGCCCGCGCGGCCATGGGGTGTTTTTTGCTTGGTATTACGCGCCCCCCTTTTTTGCCTTTCGCGTAGCACTGACGCGCGATCACGCAACGAGCATGGCTTCTTATCTTCGTAGGAAACTTACCATCGAAATCTTGATGTTTTTAGAGCGTTTGAGTGTCTCTAATCGTGGTGGCCAGGTTTTTGTCTGACGACGGTTGCCGAGACAACCCAGCTTACCTTAGTGGGAATACGAAGCATATACGCTAGCTTGACTGAGAGTAGAAAGCGCAGATACGGCCCCCTGGGCGCCTGGTTGGCCTTTGACCTGATCTCTCGCACCTCGGCCGACGAGCTGGCCACTGCCGCGAGTCCGGCCAGCGCCTCCGTCCGGCTGGTGCGTGAGCTGCAGCTGCGCGCCCTCGCCGACGCCCGAGCATCAAGAGCCGAGCTGCGGGTCTCGAGCACCTCTCCGAACAGGACCTACTGTTAACCGTCGGCTGCCTGCTGTTGTGCGACGGCGATCCTTCGGAGCAGCTGGTGGCGCTCTGCAACTGACCACTCGCCGGAGACGCGCGCTTCGTTGAGGCGCTTGGGTGCCCTCAAGGAAGCGCCATGACGCGACCGCATGCGTGCGACGTCGGCGACTGAGAGCGGCGAGAGCAGCGAAGTTCATGAATTTTGGTATGAAAGCTGCACAAAAAACTCTCCACTGAATCGAGTGTGCGCTCGGCGCACATCTTGAAGATTTTACATCTTGAAGATTTCAAGAGGCGCACATCTTGAAGATTTCAAGATGTGCGCTCGGCGCACATCTTGAAGAACTAATCTGTTCGCACCGTTTCTTCGCATCTGTGATGTATGAAGCTGACACATATACGACAGAAATATAAATCGTTCTCTTTTTGGCATTGTTTAGAAAATACGATCCCGGAAAAAGTAATCCGCATTACTTGCAGATAGCTATGCACACAGTAGAGTGTAGAGAGGTAGGGGTAGGGGTTGATGGCTTTGTTGTGGGGACTGACCCTGTAGAGAGGACTCGGTTGAGCTTTCGTCCTGGTGAGTGTAGGGTAAAACGGGTGATTTATTTCAGTATTGTATGCTTTATAACTCTCGTTTTGTGCACAAGAGCTGTAAACACGACACTTCTGAGCTTGCTTATGTTGAAAAACAATTCAAAACAATGTCGAAAAACATATTCTTGGCTTCAAATGCGCAACCAGCAAGGTTGCTTAAGGCACTGAGCTGTCACCTAGAGTCAATAATGAAACTTTATGGTCAGCAGCAATGCAATACCTCAAGGTATGGAAAACAAAATGGTGTACATCAAAAAACTGGAGTCGACTTATGCACCATGTGTACGATGTACAGGAAGGTTTCTCTATAGCTCCACTTACACGGAGACAAATAGGTGACCCCCCCCCCCCTTACACCAATGGTCAATTAAGAACAACTGACACTGACGCACGAAGTGCCTCGTCACCTTTTATTGGTGTCCTTTTTCAGCAGACGTACATTAACGATCATTTCCTCCACTTAATTGATATGCACATGACACATGTAGAGCAGAAATAAATAGCACAATATAGTGTTCATTAGCATCGAATAAAACACATGTCTCCAATGTCAAGCACCTTACACGAGACAACGGTGACAATCACTCGAGCCAATGACTACAGACTAAGCTGCCCGTTTGACAATCGGTAACGATGCCGTTCTACGGAGATAAGTCGGGAATTACGTAAACGCGCACTCGAAGACTGATAGAGCCATGAATGTTTTTTTTTTCTTCTGGTTTCACTTCGTTTACTAAGGCTGCGCCTATCAATTGAGACGACAAAACAGTCAAGAAATTCTAGTCGGTCTCAGTAGCTTATCGATGGGATAATGATTCCGCGGACTACACGCAGCTTACCCAGCTATTGATTAACGAAATGACGGATGAGGTGACGGAGTGGTTTGCTGCCTTTTGTTGGCACCGTTGTCTCGCTCGCCACACAGGAGTGGAATTTGATGAGGTCTCGTTCGCTAATTGAAAGGTCGTGTTCTTCGAATACCGAGTAATGAGGATGATCTTTCGAAATGGCACAAGCTGCATTTTGAAGCGCTCATGTCCTGACGTCCTTGGGGTTGCACAAGCTACCAATCCAGTCAGTTTAACTACTTTACACCAAAAGCGTACTGATGGGACGTGCGTCCACTCTTACCTAGCGTGGCGTCGTAGTTCACGCTTTCCAGAGAAAAGAAGCTGCTAAATCTTTACTAAAGACTACTTGGATCTATTAGGTATTTCTGACTACTGTATGCGGACGCTACACTTATCAATTTGTTGTCCACAGGCACTTGTTTGCTTTAAGAGGACTGTACGCCGGGCGAGTTGGTAATACATAACTGACAGGATAACCGCTGGTCATTAAGGGTAACAAACTGGATTCCTAGAGAAGGGAAGCGGGTTAGAGGGAGACAGAAGGTTAGGTGGGCAGATGAGATTAAGAAGTTTGCGGGTATAAATTGGCAGCAGCAAGCACAGGACCGGGTTAACTGGCGCAACATGGGAGAGGCCTTTGTCCTGCAGTGGACGTAGTCAGGCTGATGATGGTGATGATGACGATGAACTGAAAAAAAAAAACCACGCGAGAAAGAGACAATGACAAAGACTGCGCTTGTGCGTGTGGCTTTTGTGTTCTTTTCTTTTTTTTCCGCAGTTTTTGCAGTTATTCTAGCGGTGAATTGATTGCTGGCATGAAATCCAGGGACCAGTTGACCCACAAATTCCACTCTTGAGTCGCGTAAACAGATTGTGTTTATGCATAAATAATAAATAAGCGCTAATGAATATGCAACAACATTAATGGCAGCACGTCGGACCTGCTTAACAGTGGTGCCAATAGCACAAATTTCAGTGTCAATTAAGAGATAAACGCGAGAAAAATGTTTTCAAGCGCTGAGTTGGTACAGCTCAGCAGGTTGTCTTTTCAGGCTTCCGCTATGCTACTTTGAGCTTCCCGCCTTGGCGTCACCTCCCAAAATTGGTTAAAGCGACTGCATACCAACTCCCAACATTTCGTCGTAATTTTACCCTTGTCCCCACTTGTGGCGTTATAACCATTTTTACGTGATGGCTATATAATCACAGTTAGCACACACACGTACTTTATATTGGTCCGTAATTTTCGTCTAGTAGAATTGCTTGAATTACTTCATTTACATTTAACTATTTATATATCCTCTACACCTCCCCCCCCCCCCAAAAAAAAAGATTGCCTGTTACTCTTTTTAATCAATAGTTACTCGTCACATATATAAAACTCTCTCTAAAGATACGCGACTCCCCGAAATAGAGTTGACGTGTATACCTTTAAAAATAGTATACATTATATGTGGCAAATTTCGCTCTTTTCGTTAGTATACGTGGCAAATAGAAACTGACTAGAAAGAGTAACAGGTACCTTTTGTGTATTTATTTCTGAGAGTGTACACATATCATTTGTACCGCAATGCTCTTCCCACTTTGACTCTCCCAATGATTATTGAAACGTGCTGACACTCCATGGAAGGAATGCCCGACGCTCGCAATGCCTGCTACGCGTGTTTCGTTTATTTTGCCGATTGGCGCTAGTTCAAATACCTGCAGGGATTATGCGTTGTACGCGCTTTCATTGGACAACAGCCAAAGCGAGCGGTAATTTAGCAATATCGGGATACTGTAAGTGCAATATGTGCGGGACTCGTGCGCATAGGATCGCTTTCAAACGCACCAACAAAAGCAGGAAGGGCAAGATGAAAGTTTGCGATGAGAAGTTCGCAAAGCGATGGTGTGTGGAGGGGCTGTATGCCAGCACGTGCCCCATGTTTACGAATTTCGCGTTACAAACGCTCTGTCACATGCACACGACGTCGTACAATCGAGGCCAGTATACTATACAGTCGGCGACAACCTAAGAATAAAAAAAGCAGTATGTGTCACTGCCCGTGCGCAAAATGCGCTTCCAATCGCGACCACCCTTTTCGATGACGTAAAGGTTACGAAGAACCGGTGAAAAAAAATGCAACGTTTGGCGAGACGAGAAACGAGGCACCGCTAGCTGCACCCATGCACTTTAGTTTCAAATAAGTATGTATACATTATAGAGGGAACTCCAGCGCTGGTGTCTATACAGCAGCAAAGCATGGTGGGTAGTCCACGGATTTGTATAAACTTCGTTTTTTTCGGCTTCTTGTGGCTCCGTCTGGCCTGAATCCGCTTTTTCGCAAGTCAGACATCACCAAATGTTCAGCAGTTCCACTCCACATTATCCTTTTTGTCAATATGGTTGATTGGGCGAGTTGGTGACACATGACCGTTTTGAAATGAGAGCGCACTATATACTTAGACGCAGACAGAAAGACGTAAATCCAGAAAAAATCCCAAGAGGGGGGCACACATCTTGCAATGGCGGCCATTTTTGTTTCTATGAGTGTTACCTTTATTTTTTACTCGCATAAAAATAAAATCATAACCTCCAAATACAATTAAAAAAAAACAACGTGTTCCCAACACACGTAACTGAATTGTTCTAGTTGTTCGTCTATTTGATCGAGCGGCAGTCGCGATTTCAGTGATGGGAAACAGCTGAGGGGTTTTTAACACTGCAACAGGCATTAAAAATGTTGAACGCGCTATATGTCAATCCATTCAGATACATGATGCTTGAAAGATGACCTTCAAGAATGGTCACTTGAAAAGGGTGTCCCCCCCCCCCCCGGCCGGTGGACGGAGTGGGGAGGGGGGTCAGGTCTCCCCCGGCCCCACCATGATTTACACCACTGCTCACCGATTTTTCGGATATGTTGTGGTTGTTTTATGCTCGTCAGTTTTTAGTGCTTATTCTTTCAGTGTTCATGGATAGCTAACAGGCCCAACAGTCTGTTTTGTTTAAATATACTTACCCCCGTATTCACAAACGCTCCTCCACTCGAATTTCGCCCTTCACTTGACAGAGTTGCGCACTGCGCCTCTGCTCGGCTGAAAAGCGCACTGCGCTACTCAAAAATAACAGCAAATTATCACTGATATGCAGTGACATTCCCTGCCTAGAGATGGCGCTCTTATCGGCTTTCTCGAGTGAAGGTGGAGCGTTGAGTGAAGGGGCTTTCTAGAATACGGGGGTTATTCTTAGGTTGTAACCCTATTCTACGTGGCACGACAGAGCAGCACACCGATTGCGAGCGCCACGCTGAGAACGCTGGCTGCAGCGAGTGGCGAATGACCGCTGGAAGCTGGAATAGTGACGTTGCCTGGCGCATCCGTAGTCGACTGCGTGGCCGCGGTACTGCCGTTGCTCGTGGCGGAAGAAGTGGCCGGCTTAGCGGTCGACCCGGCTTTCGTAGAACTGGCCGTTGAATTTGTGCCGTTGGTGCTTCCAGATGCCTGGTGCTCCGCGTTGTTCTCCATGCAAGTGTTATTCTGGCACACCCCGTACGTTGCTGTTTTGTTGCCTTGATTCGCCTGCGTAACGTCAATCTCATTAGACACGTGGGCTGTTCTGTGGACGAAAGAAGGTAAAATTCGCAAGCGGCACTGCCTGAGTAAGCGAGCTACACAAATCGTGATTCATCGTACGCCTATTTCGCTACAGCCTCAATTTACGATTGACCACAACGAGGAGTAATTAAGCGTCTACGACAGATAACCGTGCCAACGAAATGTTTGTAAGCTGATTGGGCCAAAATTCGGGTTTACGAGCGCTTCTTGCATCGGACGAGTTATTCACTAGTCCTGATCATGGGCCCTTTATCGTAAGTATTCTGTTTGTCAAATTGCGAGGCCAGTTTCTTCATTTTAATATCAAGAATAAATTAATAATAATAATAATAATAATAATAATAATAATAATAATGCACCCGCGTTCAGCCTATAAACTTACGACACATATATACTCACATTGGAAATAATGCACTTCGTTCCATTTAAGCCATTGGTCCCACTGAAAGAATCGGTTCCGTTGCATACGATGTGGCAGGTAGCGTTTGCCTATTGTAAGAAAAGAGAGAGAGAGAGAGAAGAAAAGTATCAGAAAGGTATGGAGGTTAACTAGACTAAGTCCAGTTTGCTAACCTACACGGGGGAGAGGGAAATGAGGGAGAAAAAGAGAGAGGAGGCGGAGATACACATTGCACATAACACGCACACCGCACACACAGTTCAGGTTTCACTGGCGGTCGCACAGTGACGTTGCCCTCAAGGGTTGTAGAAGGGCTCGTGTGGATTTCTGGGCTGAAGTACGTGAAGTCCACGCTCCCAAGATCATCCAGCCTCCTTTAGGCACACTGGAGAGTCCGGCGATCTTCTTGAAAATCTAGACAATGACACAGGACACCGTCGAGAGTTTCTACACAATGGCAGTTATCACAATTGGGGGAGTCAGCCATACCAATGCTATGACTTAGTGAATTGCTGAAGGCAACGCCGACCCACAACCGATGCAGCCCTGTAGCGGCCCGTCGCGAAGTCTTTGATGGCAGCTGTAATTGAACTAATGAAGCCAGGTTCTGTGGGCGTCGAGTGGAGTAGGGTGAAAGATTCCAATGCATGAGTGTGGTATCATGCGCGACGCAGCGAAGTTCTTTTGCGGCATCAACCTTTGACAGGGGTATAAGCAGTGTGGGTGCACCGTCGTGGGCACAACGGGCAGCATTGTCGGCAAGGTGGTTACCACTAATCCCACTGTGACCCGGCGTCCATTGAAAGATTATGTCATGTCCTTCGTTAGTGGCGCGATGACAGATTTCATTGATTTGAGATACCATCTGATGGCAGTTCCCGCGTCGTAGACTTCGCATACATTGAAGGGCCGCCTTGGAGCCGCAGAAGATAGCCCACTTAGCAGGGATGTCTCGTATAACAAATCTAATTGCGGCAAGAAATGCGGCGAGCTCGGAGCCCGTAGATGTTGTGAAGTGTGAAGTCTTAAACTTGACGGTGACCGACCGAGATGGAATCACAAAAGCGCCCGTAGAACTTCCCGAGACTGAACCGTCCGCATAGATATGAGTTCGGTTTTCATATGATGTATGCAAAAGGTTCAATGAGATCTACTTGAGGGCTGCAGATGACAGGATAGCCTTTTTGGTTGTTTTCGGGACTTCAAAGTGTACAGGGGGTCTTTGCAGGCACCACTCCGAGCAAATCGGTATGGTTGCGGCTGAAAATCTCCAGGAGATTGAATGCTGGTTAGCCGCCACCACTCTGGAAAGCTCTGCCTTCGGTCTTTCCAGTGGCAGGCTAGCAAGGTGGTGGTTAGGCAGTCTGGATATATGCCGAATGTGTGGGTGACAGCATGGTTGACACGGATGTTCCTTAAGTTTTACCGGAGAGAAATTTCATTATTCTTCAAGTGCGTGATGTGAGCACTACACGAAACATTTCTGTCAATAATGATGCACAGGAATCGATGACGTCTCGTATACGAAATTCTGACATTCTCGATGGAAACATGATACCAGAACATCGCCTTGCGAGTGAAAGGAACTAAGACGCATTTATCGGGGGAAATTCTTAGCCCTCGAGCACGGAGATACTTTGACGTTGTTGTCGCTGCTTTTTTGGAGCCTTGCCCGTACCTGGGGACGCGTCACGGCCGAAGCCCAAATGCAGATGTCATCGGCGTACACAGAAAGGTTGACTGATCGATGCGGAACTCGGGCAAGTCCAATAATGAATGATGGCAGTCCTACGTATTTACGCGGTTTTAGTTACAGCAGCTGAGTGGATTTGGCGCTGGTGTCATGGCAACTCAATTAAAAAGTGCGATGGTTCACCGATATTGAGACTCACGGCAGTGACCATATTCCAACGTAATTGAAGGTCACAGGTTTCAGAAATTCCTCTTCTTCAGTTTACGGAAAAGTCAATTGGTCAATGTATAAGACGAAGGTGGATGAGGCATGCGAAGGTGTCACATGCGGCCTGGAGGAGGTAACCGGAAATGTAAAAAAAGCGTTCAAGAGCACCATTATGCACAAATCAAAACGCACAGAGTTTGATGTGGAACTTGAACGATTGCGTACAATTCGGAGGCGGGCTGAGAGGAGGTGCAGGCACACTAATTCAATTCATGACCTCAGAGATGCTCGAGATTTACAAAAGAAAATCCAACGTCGAAGGAATAAGCTGGAAGGCCAAAGATGAATGAAATTTTGTGAATCACTGGATCGTCGCAAACCGATGTCCCTTATATGGCGAACGGTACGTGGCCTCGAATCGAATCTACAACGACATCCATTTAGCACACTGGCTCTCCAACAATGCCGCCTGCAAGTTGACATTGCCGAAGATTTCTGCGTGAGGATTGCGGGTGATGTGGTCACCATGAGTGATGAGGTTCTCGGCGATGCTCCTGTAGCACGTGTCCCTGAACTAAATGTGCTTTTCTCACTCGAGGAACTGGACGCGGCTCTAGCTACTTGCAGACGTTCATCGTCACCTGGGCCGGATGACGTCACGTATGCTGCGTTATGCCATCTTGTAGGTCGGGGCTGGGACCTGCTACTGGAATGCTACAGCCAGTCATGGACTGACGGCGTCATTCCTGATAGGTGGAAATCCAGCCGCTTGATACCGATCCTCAAGCCTGGAAAATCACCGCTTGACCTCGCATCATACCGACCTATATTGCACTGTCTAGCTGCGTAGGAAAAGTAATGGAAAGAATGGTCCTCACACGCCTCGAAAGGTACCTAAAGCGCTATACAATATGTTTACAGAGGCTATGGCTGGTATTCGACGAGGCCCTTCTTCTATAGACAATGTCATCGACCTTGTGACCTCTGTGCAACAACAGAAATCCCTCAAGCGCACATCCGTTGCTATGTTCCCCGACGTGAAATGGGCCTACAGCAACGTAATGCACGACGCCATTCTCGATCGGTAAAGAAATGTTTAAATGGTTTCGGAGCTACTTACTGAAGAGATTCTTTTTCATGCACACTGCAGAAGGCAGCAGCATAGTCCATTACACCTCTCGTGGCGTCCCACAGGGTGGGGTGCTCAGCCCTATTTAACCCCACGATTGTAAGAAAAGAATGAACACGCAACTGGGCAAGAGATAACCCTAAGGAGACCTACACGTCCATGTTTTGCCATCTATCCGATCTTTCTCCCGGCGAGACGGTGATTCATGATGCTTGAAATACGAACGCATAACTACGCACAGGGAAGACAGCAACAAGCGTTTGTCCCTGTCTTCGCGTATCCCTGTGTAGTCACGCACTTGTATTTCAAATTTAACTATGTTTCATCAAGCAAGCAACTAACTAGAGCACAACTTTGTATCAATTCACAACTATATACATGCGACGTTTTTTTTTGTGCGGTTTTAGCCTATACACCCCCCCCCCCCCCCCCCCGTCAAGTTTACAGAGTATGTGTGTGCAATAAGACCTGAGTGCGTTAGTCAGCGCCCCTATATTTTCCTTGGTATGAAGTAGTAAACTAGTCGTCATTAATATTGCGTCTAACATAGTACTTGGGTGATGTGCGCGCACGTGCGTACGTGTTGTCTATATAAAAAAAGGAAGGTATAGGCTGCGTTAGCACCATCTATGCTATTACAAGCACCTGTGTCCATCTGTTACTTCATTTTGTCCTCATTTGTTCCTGCGCTATGCTACAAGTCAGAAAGATCAAACAATCCTCCTTAGTTACGAGCCAGTTTACGCTTCCCATATGCTGTTCAGTACGGGAGACACGTGCAGGAATATTTTTCATGCAAGTACACTGCCTTTTATATAGTTTTTGCATCTTTTACACACTCTAAGACAACAAGAACAACAACAACAAAAAAACCTTTAATTCCTTTTAGGTATTCTTGACTTGCCACGTATAATGTCTCTTTAACGAGACACGTGAGCTTTGTTGTGGGTCACACTACTCTCCAAAGAGAGTATAGTTGGCGTGCCTCTTTAAAGAGAATCATTGCACGTGGTATGGTTTAAACTCTCAAAAAAAGTACAAGCACGATTTTTTAGAGTGTATACGGTGGTTCGAGCATAACGATGTCGCGGTAGAGGGAACTTACCAGTAGAGCACCTGCCTCGTTTCCTTTGCACGGGTCAGTGCTGTTTTGTGCCTGGCTTCTGGTAGCTGCGAATGTAGAGAAGTAAAAAAATGCGCTTTAACATCCGCTCATGCATAAGTGTCAAGTATGACACTCCTTCAGTAATGCAGCTCTATTCTTCTAGGTCGCAAGATCACATCTCCAGCATCTCAATATGATTGCTTCTTTCCCACGAATCTATTTCGAATAATGTAAGTAAAATTAGTGTGACCATGAGAAAAATGTAGACGGCCCTGAAGAACAGCAAATTTAACTTACTGCTGCTCTTTACGTTTACGAATGTTTTTACCAGACCTGAACTAAAAGAAGCCCCGCAGTGCACTGAAAACGTGCCGACGGCGTTTGTGCGCCACACTCTGTAAGTAACGCACCACTTTAGCCAGCTTCTTCGAATACCCACACTTCACCCGAATACAAGAATTATATCCAGCATATAAATAACACTAAAGAATTCGCAGCTGTACAGCTTAGTGGCCTCCGCTTAGCACGGCTAAACACGATGTCGTGGGCTTGATTCCCTGCCCCGGTGGCCACTTTCTGATGGGAGCGCTAGGCAGAAACGTTTGTGCACCATGCCTTGTGTGAAGATGAGTAAACTTTAGATAATCGAGCCATTTTTAAGCTCTTTGCTATGGCCTCAGAACTATACGGTCAACTATTTCCTATGGAGGGACTGTTTCTTTCTTTCTTTCTTTCTTTCTTTCTTTCTTTCTTTCTTTCTTTCTTTCTTTCTTTCTTTCTTTCTTTCTTTCTTTCTTTCTTTCTTATTTTTTTGACACGCTAAATTTTATATGATTTAGGTTTTACCAGAATGAATGCCGATGAGTCGTCCTTAATTAAAACTTTAACACTAATCCCCATGTTAGCGATTCTTCAATACCTTAACACCACCTACAAAGCATAGCCGTTGTTTTTAAATCACCTATTTTAAATTGTTCATGCCAGAAGCCGTTATAACAGTCGATCGACGAAGCTATAGAAGTGCACCAAATTGTAAGTATACAATGAACGGCCCTTTTTTTACGAGGCAATTAGAAAGAGAGACAGAGGAAGAAAGAAAGGGGGAAGATTTTAACCAGTTTAAGACATTCCCGGTTCCTTGCCCTGCACTGAAAGGTAAAAGGCACAAGACCAGACAATAAAGGAAGGAAAGAAAGGATTACGATGAAGCAGGAAGAATATTACCAACGGATGCTTAAAAAAGAATTCGGGACGTTTAACGGGGGTTTTTAAACCAGGCATTGTATTGAGGCACGCCGTATAGTGGGGAACACCTGATAAATTTTGACAAGCCGGGGTTCTTGGACGCGCACCTAGCTCTAAGCACACCACTTTTTTCACTACCACCTGAATGCAGCTGCCGCGATCGGCAATCGAACCGACGCCTTGGCGCTGCGCAGTGCATCGCCATAGCCGCACCCGCCATGGTGGAGCGTGGAGTTGCTCAAGGCTCATTCGCAGATTCGACTATATAAGTATACCGGCGTCGTGACTATGCATGTGTGACTGGCGACCGAAAAGCGACAACGCGTCCAACGTTCACACGTGCGTGCGACCTATACCATGCAGTTCACACACAAAACACACGTGTGCTCGGATTGCCATTGCCCCGCAATGTAAGCTGTTAAGCCTGTTCCAGAACATCTGATTGTTTCAGACGTTTGCCACCGAAATGCTGAGTCGCGAGTGACTGAGCCAAAGCAGTCGCCCCGCATCCATGGGCATTTCTTTGCGACTAACTTGGTTGCGTGCTCAGTACCATAATCGTAATGTGTGAAAGGACCTTTACAGACCATAAGCGCTAATGCACATATACAGACCAATAATCCTAAAGAAGCGCTAGAGACATGCAAACGTTAAAACAGCCTGCGGCTTCTATTTCAGTACCCACTCGAGCTCCATTAGGTCTGACGGCATATCGACGATAGTTATAGCGCGAGAACAGAACGACGACACAGAGACAAGAAGGACTGGTCCTTCTTGTCTCTGCGTCGTCGTTCTCTTCTCGCGCTATAACTATCGTCATGTCACACGTACTAGCCCAAGCTGTCACACTACTAAGGCATATCGACGTTTTAGAACTTTTCCTTGAACACACAATGCGCATGCAGAGAGAGACGTACCGGCGAAGAGGAAGGCGCACGCGACGAGCAACAGCGCAGAGGTCATGGTTGGCTCCTCCAGCTCGGTCCCCCTGGAAGACGAACAGTCTGTTCAAGGGTGCGCTGCCGGCTAGCAGTCTAATATGAGCGCGGCGGGGCGAGAGTAACACGGCGTTACGCGATACTCCTGGTTTGCGGAGCTTCGACTGTGCCAGGAAATGAGACGCTGCTGTGTTTTCGCCGCTTGCAAATGCGGGTGACTGGGGCGTAGCGGTGACACAGAGCTGGAATCGTGCGTTGTGGACGCACGTTGCAGACACGCGCGCGCCTCAGTTCGTGGACAGCAGTTGCGCAAAAGAGAAACAGCGTCGAGTGACTTCCGGTTTGCTTGTCGTTTTGCCGAAACGGCACGCGAGACGCACCATGATGTGTTCTTCAGCACTGCCCATAGTAGAATGCACAGCACGTTTACACGCAAGCTTAGTAATTGCTCTCGTTTAACGTCGCATAACCCAAATATGAATATGAGAGATGCCGTATTGAAGGGCACGAGAAATTGTGACCATGTGGAGTTCTTTAACGCGCACCTAAATCTAAGTGCATGGACGTCTAGCGATTCACCACCATAGAATTGTGGCCACCGCGGTTGGGATTCAATTCCACGACCTTCGGCCCAGCAGTCGAGCGCTGTAACCGTCACTAGACCATGCTGTGTGTGTAACTCACCACGGTGCACCGCGGTGGGTTACACGCACAGATTCAGACTAAGCAAACCGTGCTGGCTTTCCATTGACTAACCATACCAGCCACGGTGGTCTAGTGGTCATGGCACTCGACTGCTGACCTGAAGGTCACGGATTTGAATCCCGGATGCAGCGGCCGCTTTACGATGAAGGTGAATCGCTAGTCGTCCGTGCACTTAGATTTAGGTGCACGTTAAAAAACTCTATTAGAGTAAAAAATTCCGGTGCCCTCCACTACGGCATCTCTCATATTCATATCGTGGTTTTGGGACGTTAAACCTCAGTAATAGTTATTGAATAACGATGGGGTCAACCGCAGAGAGGCCTATCGAGCAACTATAGCAGTTGCAGTGAACGAGAGTACCATTTATCCAAATGGCGACAGGGCGATCACCGTCAGCCATTCCCTTCCGCAATGACATCTATCATAAAGCAGCTCCCTTGTTAGTGACATGACATTCGTCAGTACAGCTTCCGCTACCTCAAAACAGCGAGTCCTTATACATTTCAATGATACCAGATTTCGATACTTGGCTTCACGGACCGTATACAGGGGGAATGCAAAAACGCAAACAAGCGGCACCTATATTCCACGCTGTTTGACATTTATTATCAGGCGGATGTAGCCTGGATGGAGACAAAAAGTCATTGCACTCATCTATGATACAATCAAAAACCCTATAGCATGTTTTCATAGACAGCGATGCCGGATCGCTATGAAAACAGCGCGCCACCCTGTTCACGTTTCTTCTCATGCACTCTGTACCTTCCAAAGTGTAAAGATTTATTATGTCGTCGGAATCAGGTATATGTAGTATATACACGTGATCCCTGATGATTCGCACGTATTCTTAATTATACGACTGGATAAACTAATGAAAATAAAAACGCAATGCCAAGACAGTTGTACAGGCTATCCGCTACTGGACCAGAGCAGATGATCAAAAGCAAAGCTAGTATCGGGAAGAAAAAAATCAAGATATACTTCCTTACTTGTACCGTTTTCTAATTACACTATCAGTTATAAATATTCCTTTTAGTGTTTTTCTGTACTTAAGTACATTTGTATATAGAAGTCGCTCATTTTCTTTTTTTCTACAAATGTACTTATGTATAGTGCTTAGTCTTCTGTCTAAAAATTTCTTAAGATTTCAGTTTTTTACACATTTTTTATCTTCCTATGGGCAAATTGATGTTGACAGCAACGCGATATTTTAAAGTGTGTTTCGACATTTGTAATATTTTCTGTATTTTATTTTTGTGTCCTCTCCTTCAAAAATAAAAAAAAGGAAAGGAGAGTCTTTCCGTTCCACTTCATCTTTGAGCAAACGCATGGGTGGACGGACCTTAGTCAAGCAGAGGTAATCTGCTTGTAGTCCCTTCAACCTAGGGAATCTTTTTTTTTGTCTGAATAAACAGAGAACGAATGAATGAAGACAAGGGGATCTCCGTAATTGAGGAATTCGCTCGTGCGTATGTATTTCCAAGATCGGATCACTTGAGGGGGCCAGGCTGTCGTACGCTGTCGTCATCACTCGGCGTAACGCAGTCCGAACAACATAAAGCGTAGCCAGCTGTATTGAACGCACGCTCGCGAATAGAAGTCTCTTCGAGCGCCTTAATTATTATGCCCCGGAGCCTCCTAAATAAAACCACACATAAAAATTGAAAAAGAGAACCAAGCGAGAAATTGAAAAGAAGAGAAAGAAAGAAATGTGAAAACAGCAAGACAAATATAAATAAGTAAAAATAAAGAGCCAAAAATGATAGCAAAGAAGAAAAGAAACAAAAAGAGCAGGGAAAAAAAGAAAAAAAAAACCGAAGACAAGCAGAGAGGGAGCCACGCTTCTTTCAGGCCTGTCATCACTATAGTGCGAAGCTGCTTTAGTTTTGTGTGTGTACCAAAGTGCACTCGCGTAATTATAGTAACTTGTATAGAGACAGCAACTTGCTGTGGTACATATGATTAGCAAAGGTAACTGCAGAAGCACATGGGGAACAGAAGGAGCCAACACGAAGCGATACTAGTACTATTTGAATTGAATTGAAGTTTATTTGTCCTGAAATTCTTACAGTATCGGGAGCAGAGGCTAAAGGCTGTATAGCCTGACATGGGGCCTCTGCTCCTAAATACAGTTTGGCACGCAGGCCGCTCAATCTGTCGCATATGTTTTCAGAAATAAATATATAACACAACAAATAGCGCACGAAAATAAACAAATAACACAACAAATAAAACCATAACACAACAAAATTTAGCATGGTCTTGTTACACAATTTCAGGGAAAACATTAGAAAATCACTTCATCACAAAAGCGCCACCTGAAAAGAAACTTTATCAATACAGAATGTAAAATAAAGCATAAGAAAAGAAACTACAACACATAACTCAAATTGATAGATAGGATGTAACAAATCAAGTACAGAAACTTTATTAAGCATACTCAATATCTTAATTCATTAGGGTGGTCTTGATGATGGTGTTCGAAGGTACGGAATTGAAATCTATGAGACCGTGTAAACGATTTAACATTGTGGGTATTTGATGCTGAACGTGTTGCTTGCCATAACTTGTCCTTATTGCTGGGATTTTCATGAGTGTTGTCAGGCGGGTTCTGAAGACACTGTGGCTTGTTTTGTTTAATCCACTGCTGTGCTGTCTCCTGTGTGCCGTGTGATTTTGTAGTTACATTTGATAACTGGCCATAGACAGAGGGCCTACAGCCGCACTCTGCTCTTTGCGGCACGCGTCCTGTATATAATTCATTCATTCATTCATTCATTCATTCATTCATTCATTCATTCATTCATTCATTCATTGTAACGTTCATTCTCAGCCTTCCGAGACGCACCAGGAGAGAATTAGCATAAATGAGCCATCCAATCCCACTTGCTCATAAGCACCTCTAGCATACTTCTACTGGGAGACTTACCGATACATGCGCAAGTTCGTGTATCTGGTTTTCGGACGAATACTCCCATTTCCTGGCAAACGAGATACTTTAACTAGGCGTGATGAACATTTCCTTGCCACGAGTCGCAGACCATTATCAGCATTGTATTCGTGGTTACAAGGGCAACTATTCGTGGTTACCACGACCACCATCTATAGAACGGCTCTCCAAGGGTGCCCCAGCTATCTTTAGCCAGAGTTTAAAAATATGCTGACACACGCAATAACGACGCGACCAAATGGATGTTGCTAATCGTTGTCTGGAGTTCGTCCGAGTAATTTTTGTGTTCCAAAATATTGTTTAATTAGAACTGTTTAATTAACTAACTTTAGAAGAAACGAAGTCAGATAAAAAAAGTAAATTCGAAAGTTGTGGATCACTTAGCAAAACTTCCGATTAGACAGTTTCGAACATTATATCTGTTAATTATTAGAGTTCTTCTGCTAAATACAAAAGCCCGCTAAATACAAAAAAATGCGCGTTACAAACCCATTGGCGCGCCTACACGCGCCGTTCCGCGTACGAACGTTACGCTTTCCTTGCACCGGTGCATGACAGCGATAAGCAGTCACAGCGGTTATCGCTTTTGAGGCCGATAGGAAAACGTGTTTGTCGCAAAGCCACCACTATCATTGAAGCCCTGTCGAGACAGCACAATTGGGTAAATGCTATGGTCGTTCATGGCGCCCCGCCGCGGTGGTCTAGTGGCTAAGGTACTCGGCTGCTGATCCGCAGGTCGCGGGTTCAAATCCCGGCTGCGGCGGCTGCATTTCCGATGGAGGCGGAAATGTTGTAGGCTCGTGTGCTCAGATTTGGGTGCACGTTAAAAAACCCCTGGTGGTCAAAATTTCCGGAGCCCTCCACTACGGCGTCTCTCATAACCGTATGATGGCTTTGGGACGTTAAGCGCCACAAATCAATCAATCAATCGTTCGTGGCGAAACGTTAGGGAGCATTAGAATCATCGTGGACACTGGCGCGCCAGTGGGTTTGTCACGTGGTATTTTTTTTTTGCATTTCGCGGGCGATTGTAGTTAGCGTAAAAACACTAATAATTAACAGATATAAGGTTCCAAACTGTCTAATCAGACGTTTTGCCAACTGATCTACAACTTTCTCATTTAATTTTTTATGCATTTTCGTTCCTTCGAAAGTTAGTTAATTAAACAGATCTAATAAACAATATTTTAAAACACAAAAAAAGTGTCACTAACTCCAGGCAATGGTCAGCAACATGCATTTGGCCACGTCGTAATTGCGTGTGTCAGTGTATTTTTAAACTCTGGCCCTGTATAGCACAGATATATATGCCAGGCCTTTGCGGGAGAGAAGTTTGTACTTTTTCTTTCACTGTAAATTGTAATCGATTTGATAAACCTGAAAATTCTGAAAAAA